TTTTATTATTTTAACAAAATTTTGATTAAAACAACAAAATTTTTAACTTATTTAACTAATCTAATGTAGGGTATTGCATGTTTTGGTTAAAACAAAAAATTTTTTAACTTACATACAAAAACATTCTTATTTTCAATTAAAAAGTTTTGTTCTAATTAAAATTTGGTTAGAATAACAAAATTTTTTAATTAAAAAGTAAGGAAATTTTTTGTAAGTTACATATCATACGAAACATTACTCTCAGTATATTCTCATTTTCTTCTAATTTTTAAGTCTAGAAAAAGATGGATAGAAAAAAGGATTTTATCGAATTATCTAAAAACTCGATCCGCCAATGAGAAAGAGAGAGGCGTACAATGAGAAGACGGGAAACAGGACGCGCGAGAAAAGAGCAGTTCGAGGGAGGGAGCTTTCTGCATCAGAAAGGGGGGAAAAAAGAGGAGAAAGGTGCGAACGTACTCGCGTGGATGTGCAACGGAGTATGATCGAAAGATGCGCGCGCAAGACCACCCGCGTGCCGAAGTACGAGTCTCACCCGACCGTAGACATTCTTCTGTCTTGATTTTGAAAGGTTTCCGAGACGGAAACGACGCGAGACCCCGCTCCACTTTCAGAATATATGAACGAAATCTCCACAAAGAGATCAATCGACATCGTCAGAGTGACGTAGAGGTAATGTCATAAAGAGTGGTAAACTGCTCCGAACGTAAAAAGGTGTCTTTTCATGCTGACGCTCGATGTTCATTTTCAGCGTCAAAATAGGTTTATTGTTAAACATCGGATTTTTTATGCAGGCAAAATATGAAAATATGTACAAAATATGCAAATATACATAATATGCACGAATAAATATGCATTTTTAGAATACTTTTTCAATAAGTTAAGTTTCTATTTTGGTCTCTCTTACTTCGTAAATCTGTTTTCTAAAAAAATATACAATTGCATAAAGATTCGATGACTATAGCTTTGCAACTGTTGCAAGATTTTTTAAGTCTATTTTACAATGTGTTTTCTTTGTTTCCTGTTTCTTGTTTTACCTTTTGCTTTTTTCTCCTTTGCAACCGTTTTATCGACAATTGTATTTCTTGTTTCTTTCAAAGTTCGTTAACTTTTACCTCGGGCGATATAAAACAAAAAATCGGATAAGAAGCAAAAAGACAAGATGTAAAAAATAGCAAAAGGCAAGAAACAGGAAACAAAAAGCACATTGTAGAATCGGCTTTAACCCGGGAATAGGCACGTCTCGAAACTAACGTTAGTAGACGCGTTCAGGTGCTCTATTCTCGAAAAGAAACGTATACGAAAGTCTAGGGAAGTACTATAGTATACGTAACGTATACTGCAGCATTTCCCTAGACTTTCGTATACGTTTCTTTTCAAGAATAGAACCCCTGGTCATTTTGACCGAAATATATTTTCACACATGTGCAAAAAGTATTCGTACAGAGAGAATATTTTTTAAAAAAACTTCATTTTTAAAAAGTAAATATTATCCAGCGAGAAATCAGTCATCGAATTGATATCAAATCGATATAAATACGATGATTTCAACATCAATTTGACGTCGACTCGACCTTTAATTAACGATCATTTCTTGTTGGATAATTAACAATTTATTCATTAAAAATAAAATAGACTATATATTTCTTAAAATCATATATACCAAAATGATGTGTATTAATTATAGAAAATATATCATCTGAAAAATAAGCGAAAATTAAAAATTGTATTGTTTGAATGCTCAAAAAGTATTCGTACGAGAAATTTAGCTTCTAAAATCAGGCATACATGTGAAGCTCGTTTGTTTATGTTAGAACAGAATGTATTCATTGTATAAAATTGCTAATTAATGTTTATTTTCTACAAATAAGACTTTTTTATAACAAATTCCCACGTACGAATACTTTTTGCTCTCCCTGTATGTGTTATAACTAGAATTCATACATGATTATAATTACTATAAGTAATAATTAATAAGAAAATGAGACTACAAACACTAATTACACTAACATGACTGAAAATTTGCATATTATTTTACGTATCGGGACGGATGTGTTCCGTCTCGGCTTGGGTGTTGCATCATCTCTAATTTTTGTCAAGCTGCCGAGCTTTTTCGTGATTGTTTCCTTTCTTGGTTTGTTACCTGCATTTTCGAACTAGTTTACGACCGACCAGGCTGGCTGGTAGAGCCAATAAAAGAAGAAAAGGAAGACTAATATAAGTGCGCGCGCTACGGTCTTTTAGACCGACCGTTACAAACATATCAAATTTTATGTAGATATAAGCGTGTTTACGTCTTCTATTTTCGCATACTATACGAAAAAAACATTAACAAACATTTATATAAAGGTAAAAATATAATAGTGTCAATAAATTGAAAGATATAAATAGAAAACGGAAGAATACGGCAAAATAACTATAGCGCGACCACTCCCAGGTCAACATGGTTGGTTATACGTTTAGATTCATAGATTAGATTGATAGATTAAGAGGGTATCAAAAGAAAAGCAGTCGACATAGGCTACATTCCTTCGCGCTTTAAACGCTTCTAATCATCATTCTGTCTTTATATCGTCGACGTAAAACACGGATAGAAGCGCTGAAAGTATCCAACCGAATCATAATTGCCGAAGTGATTTGCAAACGCGGCGGCCCTCGCTGCGACCTCTCGCTGCTGGTTCAACGTTCGCCGCGTCGCGTCAGTTCCTGAACTCATTAAAAAGCAAAACTAAAGCGACTAATCGCGAGCGATTCTATATCGCGCCGGCCGTGACGTAGGAGAGAAGGACGCAGCGCAAAGTGCACTCCGCGGTGGCGAGCGTGTCCCAAGACTTATCATCGCTTCGCAAAGCGAGGGGACGGAAGGAGAGGAGGATCCGCCGCTTCGTTGGTGATCTATCTTTCCTTATCTTACGCGCGGCGCGTTATCCGCGTTACACGTAATGCGACGCAATGCGACGTAACGCAACGCGAGACGCCGACGAATGTAAACGCTTCGCGAAAATTCGCGCTCGCTTGCGGGATTAGCTCGTTATTGAGCGACCGGCACACAACGGTCTCATTCATCGGGTATAAATACGGCGGCGAGACGGCGACGGCGGCGTGACGTCACCTGATTGAACACGTCACGACATGGCAACTGAATGTGTGTATCTTTTGGTCGTCCCATCACGTGCTCGGTGTACGTCTCTTTTGTACGCGTTCGGACGCCGATCGAAGACAGAGAACTGAATAGAGATGGGAGAGGAGAGAGATGCCAGAGTGGCGGGAGAACAAAATGGAAGGAGAGAGAGAACGAAGCGAGGACGTTGCTTCCTTTTAATGCAATCTCCCTATACCGTCGTCCTCGTCGACGTACACGCGTGTGCGCGCTTGCCTCCTCGCGCCAGATGGCCACGAACGAATGGCCGTGCGCACAGCCCTCCTCTTCAACTATTTATAGTAGGCACCGATAAAAACGCCAGAACACCGCCCGCTAAAAAAAAAATTATGTCGAGCTACCGCGCGCCGCGTAAGGCCGGAATGTCCGAGACACTTTTTTTTTCGTCCCGCATTTGTGCATTTACTCTTATATGGAAGCGAAAAACGACATTTATTGATACGTGCCTTTCTTTTTGAAAAATACATATACATTAAAATATAATAAAATAGGAATAAATAATAAATAAAATAAAAAATAGGTTTTTCACTAACTTGTAGTTTAGGCTTAAACTACCATCACTTGATAAAATAAAAATTGTTTTTCTAGCTAAGATTAATCACTAAATTGATGGTTTTGTAGTGATATCTCTAAAAGTTACTACGTTGCTCGTTACAAAAGCATCAGTTTAGTGATTAACCATAGCTAGGAAAATTATTTTTTTACATTGGATTCAGTCAAACCATAAGTTAATCAGAAAATGAAAAGTTGAACCTGAGATTCTTTATTCGTCAACGTTGATTGGTTAACTCTTTATTACTCGCGTGGGGTGTCGAAAATACTCCCACTTAATAAATTTGCTAAATGTATAAATGCCATTTATTCACATTATACATATTTAGCGCAAATTGTTTCACAATTAAAAAAAAATTCAATTTATCTTTATATCTAAAGGATATAGAATGTCATAAATTTTTATTTGTAAATTTAATCATCAAAGAGAATAATGAAACGTGAGATACAATGTTAGAGTGTCAAACATCTCACGCGAATAATGTAGAATTAAAGAAAAATGGAAAGTGTGATTTGTACCTACAATTCTTGTTAAGACAGCAATACAATCTCTAGGGAAATTACGATCACTTGGTAATAATAGGACACTCGACAGAAACTCGTGTTATATATTACTTCTGTCTGGCGTTTTCCACTAACCATGCTAAATTGGATTCATTATAATATATATGTTGACTTTGCGAGATGACTTTAAAGACTTTCATCACATAGTCATTATTTTTTTAAAGATCTTAATTGTAGCTAATGAGTCCCTGTTATGAATGAAAAATCCATTTTGTGAATGAATTACACATCGTGTCTGTGGAATCTAATCGCAACACGCGAACCAATTTTCGCAAAGACTTGAACAAATCGTGTTTACTCGGTAGATACATTTTTGAAAGCGAAGGTAATCAGAGAAAAATCGTAAACGCTCGCATAAATTAGTATCAAGAGCGTAATTTGCTTTATCTCGCCTGAAATATTTACATGTAAAGAAGATTTCGAAATTACGACTTTAAATTACGAAGAATGCAATCGTTAGGAGTTGGTAAACAAATGAAACCATCGAGCGAAAATGCGACGCGTTCGACGCCGCATCTAGCGGAATCGACGTTTTCGCTTCGTTAGTCGCAAAGTTCCCAGTGAGCCACATAGAAGTAAGGGGGGAAAATCAGGGAAGCAATCATCCCCAGGGAGAGAATCATTGTTAATACAACAATCGGAATCGAAATTCGGGACGAACTTATATAGTCAGTAATTCCATCGATCGATTGTGGCGCGACCCAAAAACGGAGGGGAAACTCACCGTTGGCCTTGAAGGTAGTCGCCGTCTCGAAGCTGGGCGCCCTCACCGGATGCTTCTCTTTGTTCCGGTCCACATAGTTGACGGCCAAGCTGACCGCCGGTAGAGAGTCCCCGCGTGTCAGGGGTGGTCTAACTGGATGCTGCTCCTCGAGGGACAGCCGTTTCTCAGCATGTTCATCCTCGTCGATCGCGGAGATGCCGCGTTTGAGCTGGGTAATGCCACGATTGTGCAGGGTCATCTGATGCGCGGCCACCGCGGCCAGATGGGCGTTGGACAAGCGAGGTGGATTGTTCCTTATGCTGTTGGCGATCTCGTGGCTCTCGTC